TTCATTTGTCTTTAAACACTGACATGACAAATCTGAAATCCTCACTATATGCAGGAGTGAGGGAACCATGCTCATTTAAGCACATAATGGAGTAGCAAGTGGCCCAAATTATCTAAAGTGTTATTTCCTCTCTTTTTTTCCCCCCAACAGTGCATAGTGTGTTTGAATATATATCAGGGAACTCACTACATCACATATAGCTTTCTATGTGTCTGGCCAGCTCTTACTAGTATGACATTATTACTAGGTGTCTTGGCTAGGCTGGAATTGAGGCTAACATAGGAAGGGTCTGGGGTTAGATGATATCACCAGAAGTCCTTTGCAAGCCCTGCATAGACAAAGCTTCTAACTTTCACAGAATAATAACTGCTATGAAAAGTGCAGAAACTTAAACAGAGGCCACTCACATCTGCTGATTTGCTGAGGCACTGGAGATCCGAGGGAAATAACTTGAATCCAGTTTACAGTTGTGGTTCAGAGATTTGCAAATATCTCAAATATGAGAGAGAGGAAGGGTTCCAAGCACAAACCACTGTGTGTGGGGATAGGGGTATAGGCAGGTGGGCAGACTCCGAAGCAGACCATAAACACTAAATGTTGATTCTAAGTGCTACAGGAAGCTATTCTGATGCTCTTCCTCTTTCTTCCCTCTTCCTTTTCTCCTCATCCTTCTTCATTTTTTTACTTCTTTCTTCTCCTTCTCCTCAAAACAGCAATACTGCCCTTTGAATTTTCTAAACACAACAGGTTCATTCCCACCCCAGGGCCTTTGTACGTGCTCTCTTCCGTGTCTGGATTGCTGTTTGTATGACTCACTCCTTGTTGTTTAAGTTTTGGCTCAGATATTATCTCTTTAAAGAGGCCCCTCTGACCATCAATTTCTGTTTCCCATTACTTTTGCCTGATTTTATTTCTTCATATACCTTAACAACTCTCTGAAATGATCTTATCATCTGCTTCCTCGAGCTAGCATACAAGCTTTATGAGATTCAAGGACTGTGTCTTATTGCCATTCTATTTCTAGCGCTCCGAACAGCGTGTGGCTATACCAGGCACTAGATCCTTATTTGTTGAAAAAAAATAATGTGTCATTTAAACCCCAAGAACCCAGGTGTGAGATCTCCCTCTAAGAGAGCTGGATGGAAGGAAAGAAAATGTTTTTTCTCTCTGCCAGAGAGAGAGAGAGGTGAGACCAAGGGATGGGGACAAACGGCAAGGAGCTCCAGGAGGCTGAGGGAAGAGGTCAGCAGTCACATGCATGGTGAAAGCTGGATCATTGATGGTTCAGAGGTGAAAAGCAGAGGACAGAAGGCAAAAGAGCAAAGGAAAGGGGCTGCCAGCTTCAGACACTGACTCTGATTATATGAAGAATAGAGCAGAGGGGACTGTTGATCCATCAAATCTAGAAACCAGCTATTAAAGTGACCTTCCCTGGAATCAGCACTTGGTAGGGTCATTTGTGCTGTTCCCAAACCTAGCTATGCATCCGAATCCCTTGGAAAGATTTAAAAAATATATAGCTTTACTGGCCCCACCCCAACAAAGGGCTGGATTCCAGGACTGTATTCTAGGTAGTTTATTTCTTTTTCTTTTGAAATGAGATGGTGAGGCACAAAGAGAAGATGGCCAAAAGGTGGTCACTTTTCTATGAGCATTTTTCCCCCATTACCATCTCTCCCAGCCTCCCGCTTGGACTCCCAGTCACAATGGGACACAGTACAGTGGCCAGTGGAATGTCCTCAAAGCAGCACAATAGCAGCGTCCCCTGCCCTGGCAGTGGAGTGGCGAGGAGAGAAGAACCCGAGCTTCCTTTAGGTGACCACAGTCACGGACTGGTGGAGTCTGAGCTAGGGCTGACTTGGTTTTACTTCTCTGCTGCCAACATCTGCCTTCCATGTAACTTTCCCTCATCGTCAGGTTCTGTCCTTGGGAGTCAAGCATATAAGGTCCCCCCTTGGCCATATATCAGCCCTTGAGGTGTTTGTGGAGAAATAGCTACTATGACTTCTGACCCTTTCTTGAAGCCATTCTTTACAGGATGCTGCTTCTTGTTTCCTTGCACCTTGTACTCCAGATGTGGTCTGATCAGGAGGGAACAAGGCCAAATGATTATCTCCCTTGTCCTGGACACTGAGTTTGTGTGAAGCTTGCCAGGTCTTGTGTTTGCAATTTTGGCAGCTGTACTCTGGGATCACACCAAGCTTATAGCCAGCCAAAATTCCGGTGATTTTCTGGGAGGCCTGCTGCCCTCCTCACACTATACTGGCGTAACTGGTCCTTGAACGTCACATTTGGCATGATTCCCCATTCCACCAGTCCAGCATGTTTGGGTCCACCCCTGTAGCTGTCAACCATTCATGAATCTGGATTCTGTCATTGAGTCACTAATCCACATGATCTAATTTTGGATTATCCACAATTTTAATAAGCCTGCCTTGGAAGCCTTTATCAAAGAAGTTGATAAGAATGTGGAGCAGATTGGGTCTCTGGACAGAGTCTTCTGACATCCCTTAGAATCCTTTCCTAAAAATGATATCTAGTTAAATAGTTTTGAAGTCAACTGATCTGCTATCATCTCAATGATATTTAAATACCAACTGCCACCCTCCTGGTCAGCCACCCCAGTTTAGTCATGAATACTGTTTCTATAATCTACGCAGAGTTATTTTCTTTCTTTGCTTCAAGATTAGTCAGAACTCTTTCCACTGGAAGTGACAGGAATAAAGTTAAACTAAAGCAAAAAAGAGAATTTATTGAGTCCCATATTTAGACAGTCCAGGGGTGGTTCTGCCTTCACGTATAAATGGATCTAGGGCCTCAAGTGGGCGCTCTCTCTCTCTCTCTCTCTCTCTCTCTCCATTTCTACCTTCCCTTCCACCTCCTCTGTCTTGCTCCTTCCAACCTTTATCTCTGGATTTCTGTGTGTTACCCTCATTTTACTTACTAGAGATAAACTTTCTCCAAATGACAGGAAAGATAGCTGCCAATGACCTTCAGTGAAAAACCTTTCAGTTAGTTTGGTAACTAAAAGAAAATCCCTTTCGCTTTAACTCCAAAATGAAAAATCCCAGGGAAGGATTCTGATTGGTCCAGTTTGGGTCACATACCCAGGGGAATGAAGTAGAGACATAGGCTGACTCTGGATCACAGTCATTTTTGTGACTTTATATTTTAAGAAGGAGAGAGGGACTGTGATTACTATCCCTGAAGGTCACATGGTCACAGTAGAGGAAGAAGTGTGGTTCTAAATAGCATATATCCTGTAGAGCTTCCTGCCCTCAGCTACATTCTCTTCTCTGACTCATCCCCAGTTCCCCAGGAGCATCCTTCCCTTTCCTTCCTCTTCCGATCCACATGTTGTTCAGCTCAGGACCCATTCATCTGGCTCCCATGATGAGGTAGCACATGGGAGAAAGAATGAACTTCTATTGTGCTGTTGTAATGTATTTCATATTCATTATCTTCTTTAATCCTTATGATATAAGATGATAATGATGATCCCTATTTTATACAGGAGATTGACTTGTTTTATATATTTATTTATTTTTAATCCTCACCTGGGGATATATTTTCACTGATCTTAGAGATAAAGAGGGAGAGAGAGAGAGAGAGAGAGAGAGAGAGAGAGACAGACAGACAGACATTAGTGTGAGAGAGAAACATTGATCGGTTGCCTCCAGTATATGCTCCAACCAGGCATCAAACCTGCAACCTAGGTATGTGCCCTGACTGGGAATCGAACCCACAACATTTTGGCATATGGGACTACACTTCAACCAACTGAGCTTAATATTAAGCCAGGGCTTAATATATTTTATTAATTTAGCAAACATTTATATATACTAACTATTAAAAATATTAATTTACTAGAGGACCAATGCACAAATTTCATGCAAGAGTAGGCCTTCCTTCCCCTGGCTGCCAGCACCAGCTTCCCTCTGGCACCTGAGACTCGGCTTCGCTCCGGCCCTGGCTTTGTCAGCGGTTCTCAACCTGTGGGTCACGAACAATGAAAATACATCCTGCATATCAGATATTTACATTACAATTCATAACAGTAGCAAAATTACAGTTATGAAGTAGCAACGAAAATAATTTTATGGTTGGGGGTCACCACAACATGAGGAACTGTATTTAAAGGGCCAGAAGGTTGAGAACCACTGGTCCAGATGGACCTCTGGAATGATGCCCAGAAGGACATTCGGTCTAATTGGCATATTGCCCTTTTATTATTATAGATTAATGATCATAATAACAACATGACATAAGTACTATTACTTCCATTTTATAGGTGATTGGAAGCTGAGACATTGAGAGGTCACATAACTTGCCTAAGGTTACACAAAGTGAACAGAGGGGAGTTTGAAGGCAGGTCTGTTAGCTACATCCATTATAAAAAGACAGCCCTTGCAATTTTAAATATGCATGATCTTTAATTTGAAATGTGAGATGTTTCATCTCTGTCAGGGAATTCTGGGAGCATCCTCTGTCGAAGATTATCCAGGGGAACAGTATAATCCAACCCCACTATACACACTTGCTCACCCTTGGACTTTTATCTCTGTCTTCCTATCTGCCAGCGCATCACCAGCATCTTTTTCTGCCCAACCCTGGAGGAGTGGGCTAAATTTTTGTGCCAATTTCTAAGTGAAGCACGTGAGTTGCAGCTCCCCAGAGCCTTGGAAGTTGTGCCGAATAGGCAGTGGACCACAGCATCATGTTACAATTTAAGGCAGAAACTGAGTTCATTGTAGGTGATGTGTGGGCATAAAGGCTGGTACATCTCAGTCACACATAGCAGGTGGATGGCAGGGACTGGCTGTGTGATGGAGCTGGGATCTGCTTCAGGACCTCCTGGTTGAAATTGGGGCTGGGGGTCTGAAACCCAGAGGCAGAGTGGTAAGGGTGATGACACTGGACAAGATCCAATAAGAGTAATGGGCATAGACAATGAATTGGGTAACAGTCCGTCAGAGTTTATATTGGATGGTTGACACAGCAACATTTGAAGGACCCAGAAAGCTATTTGGGACTTAGGTGGAACTGAAGTATTCACATGGCAAGTGTACCAAAAGGTGGGGAAAACTCAACCTTGGTTGGAGATTTGAGGCTAGCCTCTAGTGTAAATTATCAGTTCTCATATAAACAAGCCAGAAAGGCCCTTGCCATTAGCTGGTTTTAAGCGTAGGGCTGTAATCCAATAATCATATAACTTTCAGTCTGATATTCCTAAAACATAAATCTGAATATGACATTCCCCAAACTCAAACCCATCAGTGCCTCCTCATTGCCTCCTGGGTGGTATCCACACTTCTTAGCAAGGCTCTGAAGGCTTTAACTATCTACCCCATGGGTTCCTTCCTCCCCTAGCCTCATAGCACACCCTCCATCCCAGCTGGCAACTTATGAAATATAGAATTAGTTGTAATTTCCAAGGCCAAGACTGGCCTACCATGCCTTTCTCTCTACCTGTGATGCTGTTGCTCATCGTGTCCACTGGACAGACTCTTCTTTCTCCTTCACCTTGTAGCTCAAATGCCATCTCTTCCTTGAAGCCTCCTCTAACTCCCCCAGTAGACTCACCTGTTCTCTCCTCTAGGATCCCAGACCACTTTGTTCATACCTCCATGGTACCTATCATATGTTATTAAAAACATCTGCTGATGTGTCTTTTTCTGCCATCTATTAGACTGTGTGCTTCTAGAGGGCAGAGGCAATGCCTTTTCCCTCTGTGCCTCTAGGGACACAGCATTGGGCTGGCACAGATAAATGCTCAGTACACAAAAAGATAAAGGAAGATAAGATATTACATATGGTAACCCATAAAATCCATGAGAACTTTGGAGGAGGAACCAGAGGAGGAGTAGCAAACTATGCACTAAAGACAAATGAACTCTTTGTCATCCATTCAACAAGTATTTATTGAGGATTTTCTTTATGTTAATAGGTGTGCTAAATGCTAAAGATACAGTGCAGTTCAAGACAGGCTTGGTTTCTGTTCTCGTGGGGTTTACAAATTATTAAGGGAGGCTATCATTTAACAATTCACAAATAATTAAAATTGGGTGAGAGGTATTCAAGAAAAGGGAAGGGGTATTGACTAGGTATATTGTCTGGATGTGAAAGGCTGAGAGGATCTCACATAGCACTCTGTCTTGGGTGTGGTGAGCTGCAAGAAGACTCAGT